TAAAAATATATATATATATTCCAGCGGTATCCTTCGCTGAGTACGCCTGCCGCCCTGCCTCTCCCTGCGCTCCCACGTGCGTATGAGATTCAGATTTTGTATCAGCCGCCTGCGCGCGTCCAACGGCTTAACCCAATCGCCGATGCGGCGCCTCGACGGTTCACCGCCGGCGGCGGCTTTTAATTCGCAACTCCGTTCGGGCCCCTGCAACGATGTGCGCCCGCCCAGGTAAAGGCAAAGGTGCAGCAGGGGCACGACGCGCCACTGCTGAACTTCACTAGTGGCGGCGGCGGGGGGAGGGGGGGGGGGGGTTGCTATCCGGAGAGGTGATTTGGCCTACTCTTCCGTGCTGCCCAGACAACCTCGGACGGACGAGCACGCAAAGCCATGCCGGTGGACTAAGAGGGGTTGCTGGATTCGAACTGGCGACCCACCGTCAACGCAGCAGCGGTGGGGTGGGGTGGGGTGGGCACCCCCCCCCCAACCCCCCCCCCCCCCCCCGCTACGATCGCGTATAAATAACCAAATATCGTTAGCGTTGAGACAAGTTTTCAGTGGGGAATTAAAAGACACGGAGTTTGGGGAAGCGGGCGGGGGGGGGGGGGACAATTGCTACATTTCAATTGCGCTCGCACGCTGGCGGAGTGGCAAGGGTTAATATTTCATCAGGAAACATCCAGATAACCATTACATAAACCATTAGCCCACATGACCCCTGCTTGTGTATATTTCATGCGCCATCCATGCGGAAACCGCCTGACACTTTTAAAAGCTAAGATCTTCATTTATGGATGTAGTGAGTCACGGGCGGCCTCACTGGCACCTTGCTCCCACCGACTCCCTGTGTTCATTTGGCCACGTGTGGCTGTCCAAGCGTGCAGTAGCCGGCCTCACCAACACAACACACTCCCCTTGTGTGCAGTGTTCCGGCCGCACCAACACAACCCGATCTCAGTGTGCGGCCTCACCAACACAACACACTCCCTCTGTGTGTGCAGTGTCCGGCCTTAACAGGAGCTCGCGCGTCCAGGCCGTTTGTCATTCCACTGCTGGATGAGAGTCGCCTCTTGGGGTGCGTGATGTGTTGTGGGGGTTACGGTATTTGACTCTACTTCACCGCGCTGGTCAGTGCGGGTTACAGAAGTGGGGGGGGGGGGGGGCGGTAGGGGAGTGGGGAATTGAAGGTATCGATATCAAAGTGATGTCCTGATCACACGACCATTGAGGCATTTGTCCTCATCGCTCAGACAAACGGCTGGAATTCCACGTTCCTATGGCGAGGAGGGTCGATAATAACAACCCAGTTAATCGACACGTAGCATGGGGAGGCCTTTATCCAGCGGTGTATATTTGCCATCGCAGAAATCGTTACATGTCGAGTTCACCGATAGCAAAGCAAACGTTCCGACGTTTGTCGGTGCTTTGTAGGCGCGCGCGCGTGCGCGTACGTCAGGGTGAGTGCACGTGGGCACGCGCGTGCACGTACGTCAGCGTGAGTGCACGTGGGCGCGCACGTGCACGTACGTCAGCGTGAGTGCACGTGGGCGCGCACGTGCACGTACGTCAGCGTGAATGCACGTGGGCACACGTACGCTCTGAGCGAATGCGCGTACCTGCGCACGACAGCGCGGAGTGACGGCGCAGCAGTCAGCGCGCTGCGCTTTGAATCCGCCGATCCGAGTTGTAAACATTCGCCAATCACGGTGGCGAATGTTTACACCGGTTTTAGGCCTCCCCCTAGGTCGACTCGGCATCAAACGAGTACCTGGTGCGGTGCGTAAATATCAACAAGGGGGAGACAAAGGCGGCCGGGCATGGTGCTAGCCAACACCACCTCCTCGCGTGCCGTGCCGGCATCCGTCGGTGCTCGCTAACAACACTTGCCCCAACAGGCTATTAAGGCTATGCGGGGGATCTTTGGCATTGACCACTGACCTTCAGGCCATTGTAGTAAAGACCAGACAGGAGGCCTTGGAATGGATGGAGTCGGTCGCGTCCTCCAATACGGATCCACGCTCGGCTATTGAAAGCGGTCATCTGTTTTTTTGTTTTAGTTGCTTTTTGTCTTTTAGTTTGTTGTCCGAACCGCCCGCACCTCCGATCAGCGCGGTTGGCTACGCGGACACACGGCTGTCGCACTCTGGGTAATTATAGGTGGAAACACACAAGCGAGCAAAACGAGGCAGTTAATACTGCGCATTGTGATCATCATCATCGTCGTGCAGAACAAAAGAGTGGGCACCCATTATGCATTTCTATTCACACTCACACGGAATGCAAAGTCGGAACGAAACGGCGAAGTGCACTTCAAGTCTAATGGGTGCCATGCGTCGAATTTGTCAGCAGCTGCACTCGCCCAATGAGAATCCAGCCGGTGCCCCGCACACAACAAGTGATGTATCAATGAAGTGTGCCCCCCCCCCCCCCTCCCACCTGGGTGCTCACCTATGCCACGAAACAACAAGGCAAAAAAGAGCCGTGGATTTTTCTCCGGGATCCTCCGGTTTAGAACCCCCCCCCCCCCACTCCACATTAAGAAACAACACGCGCTTAAGATGATTTGGCTGCCACTATAAATTCCCACGAGTGGTAATGACGATGATGATGATGATGACGATGATGATGACGACGACGATGATACAAACCACTCCGATGGGCTATCACGTGTGGCGGAGTCGCCTCTGAAAAAAAATCTCGACGGTGGACTTTAGCCGGTAAATAAAATAAAATTAGCTTTTGTGTGGGAGACCATTCAATCAACTGACCACGAAGCCCACCCGCCCATCGTATTCACAAGGCCATTTAACGTTGTGTGTGGATCGAACAGGTTTCCGTCAAGGTCAAACGGAACGATGGACTCGGTTCACATTTTTTCCCGACATTATTAACAGCGTGGCCAGGGATGTTGACGTACCTGGGATGGTCGTCATTTTCACGCCGGGATATTTGGCAACCCACATAAATCACCTCGCGCGCCTTTTTCGTGGCCTCGCCGCACGTTAAAGATGTCACCGCCGCCCTCGTATCATCGCGGTGAAATACACGCATCGACTATTTAATGCGTTGTAGATTTTTTTTTATTAGCCACAACGTTTTTCTACGGCGTGCGACGACGATGATGATGATGATGATTTTTTTAGGCAGAATCATTCTCGGTAACGACACTTCGGCGTCGCGTTTGATAACCGAACGTGATGGGAAGTGAACGCTATGCAGTCCCTCGTCACCGATTCGTTTGTTGAGGTTACAAACGACGGTTAGATTTGCCAATAGCTTCGTTTTTATTTACGCTCTTACCATCCTTCTTGGTATAATTGCGATCTCAAATTCGTCCCCGTCTCGTTTGTAGCGCCGTTTCCCCTTTGAAGCGAACGAAATCCAAATCCCAACATTGACATCGCTGCTGTGCCACTTCGACATGAAGTCACGCAAATTCCAGGATTACTACCTATCAACAGCAAATATCCCTCTGGCCCGACCGTGGCATTGCCTATGTGCCCACCGGCCCACCTGTGTGCCCACCCGCCCACCTGTGTGCCCACCGGCCCACCTATGTGCCCACCCACCCACCTGTGTGCCCACCCATCCACCTGTGTGCCCACCCATCCACCTGTGTGTCCACCCACCCACCTGTGTGCCCACCCATCCACCTGTGTGTCCACCCACCCACCTGTGTGCCCACCCATCCACCTGTGTGTCCACCCACCCACCTGTGTGCCCACCCATCCACCTGTGTGTCCACCCACCTGTGTGCCCACCCATCCACCTGTGTGTCCACCCACCCACCTGTGTGCCCACCCACCTGTGTGCCCACCCACCTGTGTGCCCACCCGCCCACCTACGCGCCCGCCCACCCACCCACCGTTGCCACCTGCCAGTAAAGTTGTCTCACCCCGCGAATACCTCCTTGGCACGGCGTGCCACCGCGGCGACTCTCGCACGGCGGCAATGACCCTGGCCACGCCTGGCCTTGGCCACGCCTGACCCTGGCCACGCCTGACCCTGGCCACGCCGAAATCGCGCGCTTAGCGACGCTGCCACCGAGAGTGTCCGAGCAGTGTGCCAGGTCAGCGCACAGAGCACGGGGGTCGCATTGCTCCACAAAGGCGCCGTCTATCACGCGCACATTTCAAAGCACAATGCGATAGGCTATCATAATGTAATGCATTACAGGGCGAACGTTCCTGGATAACAATCTGATACAGGTCAATAACGTCTCTGGGCTGGGCTGGATACCCCCCCCACCTCCTCCCCCCACCCCCCAGGCTTATGGCAGAGAATACAAAAGTTCTATTCAATCCTTGTGTATGATGGCAGCAGCCAAAAAGCCGCTGCTGCTGTTGCTGCTGCGATGATAACCGAAGTGTCGCGAGATCAGCGAGGTATCGTGGTAACGTTCCGTGTGTAACGAGTGCGACCTCGTGACGTCGTCGTCGTCCGTGCAACCTGAAGGCCAACAGCGCAGCTCGGCGAGCACTGGACGGGCATGGTGGGGGTTCTTGCGGTACCTTTCGCGACACGTGCCCAAGTAATTTCGTGCTCCCCGGCAGCCTGGTTAAACTTGCACCGAGAGAGCGGAAGGCACGCGAGGCCTGGTCAGGGCGTGTGAACTTCACGACGACTCGCGGACGAGACGGACGCTACGGGTGACCGTGAACGACAGCGAAATTCGGGCAGCGAGCCCGGGAGAATGGCCCCACCGTCGAGATGGGAGCGATTATGTCAGCTGATGTGCAGGGGTGGGGGGGGGGGAGCTTCATCCAGCAGTGGATAATATCAGGGGTGATAAGTGGTGTGTAACGTGGTTGCCATGGCACCCAGTGCAAGGAATGACACGGTAGGCCCCCTGTTCAATTTCTGCCATCTTGGATTTTCATCCCCTGTGTACTCAATAGCTACCTACGTCACTGGGACTAATGGCGATGGTGATGACAACGACGACGGGCATTAACAGCCGTGTTGTGTTTGCTTGCTTGTATGTTTCTACCTATTGCCCACAGTGCGACAGCTGACCATTTTCAACAGCCAAGCGTGGATCCGTATCGGAGGACGTGACCGACCCCATCCGTTCCAGGGCCTCCTCTCTGGCCTTTACTACAATGGCCTGAAGGTCAGTGGTCAATGTCAACCCCCCCCCCCCCCCCCCCCCGTATAGCCTTACCACACTGCTCGGGCAAGTGCTGTTAGCGAGCGCCTACGAAGGCCAGAACGGCACACAAGGGGGTGGGTGGCTAGCACCACGCCCGACCGCCTTTGTCTCCCCCTTGCTGAAATTTTCACGCCGATTCAGGTACTATTTTATGGCTGAGTCGACCTAGAGGAGGGCCAGAACCCGTTCAAACGTTCGCCACCGTTATTGGTCGTGAGCGGGAATTGAACTCGGATCATCGGATTCGTAAGCGCTGCTCCACCGCTCCCCTGCAGACGCACGCATTCACGGGAATGTTGCATTTAGCTTAGACTAAGTGAACGAAGCTGACTGTACACACAAGACAAACACGAGAAGGCGACATAAACGAAATGGCAAACGCGAGACGACAAAAAGAGTTGACGATGTTTGAATTGAACCGAATCGCAACTCCGATTCGTGACAATTCGTCGAACGACTGGCAGGCGTAAACTGCCCGCGACGTCGCCTCCCGACGGGATGAGCACGTGGTCAGGGGCCATGGTAGTGAGATACCTGTGGAGATTACCTGTACTCGCAGCCAGGTGGGAATTTGTCGCACCTCCGATGAGCACGGTTGGCTATGTACGGTGCGAAAGAAGTTCAGCATAAGTACAATCCATCCAGACGACTGTCAATGCTTCTTTGGTTCTTTCGGTAAAGTCACGTAGAATGAGAATAAAATTATAAATTGATCAAATAAAATAACACAATAATATTCTCACGACGTTTCGGCCACAACACAAGCGGCCTTCATCAGGTGAAGGGACGAGACTGTCTGGTAGGACAGCGCTGAAGTGAAAGAGCCACGTTCAGATCACGGCCTTTAAGCTGTGTGAGAGGAACAAAGCGCCTTGACAAAGGAATTAGCATATAATTTAGCATTGAAATGGCTGAATGATTAGCTTTTGACTGGTCACAGAAATAGTTATGTTAAAAGTTAAAGCATACACATCCGCAGAGGCACCGCTTGACAATGGAATTAGCATAGAATTTAGCATTGAAATAGCTAAGTTAAAGCATACACATCCGCAGAGGCACCCCTTGCCAATGGAATTAGCATAGAATTTAGCATTGAAATAGCTGAGTTATTAGCTTGTAACTGCTCACAGAAATAGCTACGTTAAAGTCAGACCATACACATTCACCGAGGCACTTAGTACAAATCAAACAGGAGAATTTAGCATTGAAATAACTGAGTGATTAGCTAGTGACTGGTCACAGAAATGACTATGTTGAAGTCAAGGCCTACACATCTGAGCTATTCACAGTACTATATAGTGAACCAATAAAAACTAAAATATAAATTACCTTAATGTTATCAATAAACTCTATATTCTCCAATCAGCTAAGCTACCAACAATAAGTCGTTATATATCACAATGCTATATGGCGAAAAAATGGGTGGATTCTTACCCTCAACTTTAGCACCACGGATAGCTACGGGCCCCGTTCAGACGGACGAGTTCGTCCATGGTCGGAACAGAGGAGGGGGAGAGAGACAGCTGCGAGGCCCTAGTATACTCCATGTTGTAAAGCCATACCATTAACCGTGGTGTGAGAGGTATTAAGAGTCAATGCTGGCGAAAGAGCTGTGGTCTGAAGGTCATCGTAAAAATACAATTAATTAAGAACAGAAATGATTTAAAACATCTTTCCAGTGGTTACTAAGCCAGAATCCATCTTCTCGGTTGAAATTGTCTCTGTGCTTGTATATGTGAATGGCCTCATGAACGAATCTCTCATGGTAGCCGGTTGGTTTGCAAAGAACCTCCGTCTTGGAGAAGTCAATGTCATGTGATCACTGTTATAATTCAGTGGGCTCACCACCAGCTGTACCCCTCTTACTGTGCCAGGCTAGGTGCAGGAGGTCACGGGACAGACCCAGCAGGTGCCATGTGTTGGCTGACTGAGATGACCGGTAGATGCACCACCAGCTGTACCCCCCTACTGTGCCGGGCTAGGTGCAGGAGGTCTCGGGACAGACCCAGCAGGTGCCATGCGTTGGCTGACTGAGATTACCGGCAGATGCACCACCACCCGTACTCCCTACTGTGTCATATGCAGACACCCACGCCTTCATCTCTTCCATGCAGCCTGCTGAACCGACACACCGCAGCTCACCACACTTTGTCTTTCCGCTTCATTTTCCTCGCACTGCTCGCCGACACTTGGAATTGTCTCCCATCGTCGCGTCTCTTTCCCCCCCCCCCCCCGAGTTCTTATAATCTTGCTCTATTCGGAAAGGGCATTGACTGTTATCTGTTCCATCTTCTTTAGTGCTCTTTGTTGCTGTGCGATTTTATTTTTTTGCCTCTGCTCACCAACGACCGGAATAATAATAATAAAAACGAATAGTTCTGCACCATTATGTTCCTTGGCTGTTCCCTGATATGCCGCGACGGCCTACCACGGGATTGTCGTGTGAACGCAGCCATCCCGAGCCTCGACTGGATCGCAAAGAGATGCGGCCGATGACTCCAAACCTGTAGATTGACACGATGGTGCTTGTAGTAGGCATCTTGGAGTGGATTGGTTTCTGCCGGCCCAAAAATATGCCATTTGAGCATTTTCCCCTGGTGTGCTTAGGGTGTACTCCATGTACTCTGGTTTCATTCAAGATATAAAAAAGAGATGTTAATTAGGGATTGGTCAAATATCCAAAATCAGGGCACTCCTGAGAGGGTCTTGAGATTAAGTGAGGGAGTAGGGGGAGGCAGGAAGGGTTTTGGCTGTCAAATTATCGCAATCAATATTTTAACACAAGGGTCACTCAGCATGGTCTATTAAATGATACTTTGCCAGATACTGTACACTCTGTAGGTACGCGCGTTCTTTTATGAGCTACGGAGTAAAAAAATACTTTATTTTAAAAATAAATAATAATTTCTCACAGATTCGTTTTCGGTAGAAAATAGCGCACTTTCACAGGGCACAATTGTGAAGAACGCTTATCGGAAAAATGGGTGATTCTATCAAAGGTTAATTTCAAAGAGATTTTTTTCTGGTTCATGTATGCCTGCCGCATAGCAATGAAGTGATTTGGGAGCGGTGGGGGGGGAGGGACATTCGTTTTACAAACAGTTCCTGTGCATACCAAGTGCAGTGAGACCGGTGACAATTACCCCAGTTCTTCGAACGCTCTTGCTGGTAACACTCAAAGCGTCAACGGAGGATTGGCACCTCTGTGCAGCGGTCTCATTTTTCCAACGATGCCATATCGGTGTTCACGATACGACAATAATCGCGATGTCTGTTCCCCGTGTCGTTTGTAATCGTATATATATGTTGAACTTCTTTTGCACCGCATGTAGTCAACCATGCTCATCGGAGGTGCGGTGGAATGACAAAAAAAAAGAACACAAAAATCAGTTGTGATTGTATTTCACAGTTTTACCGTATTGCTCTTGTGCGTTGTGCGTAATTCCAGCGCAAGTGGGAAATATACAAGGGCACCACGGTGGCTAGAAGATGTTAACTACCTCGACTGGTATACAGGAGGTCATGGATTCGATCCCAACCCTGACGCCTGCTGCTCTATATTTGGAGTTTGCGGTGTCTCTCTCCCCGTGGTCCCGTGGATTTTTCTCCGGGTCCTCCGGTTTTTCCCTCCACATTTAGAATCAACAGGCATTTAGAGTTTTCGGCTGCTATACATTTCCACGTGATAAGCCACTTTGTTGAGTTGTCATTTTTGGCCAGGTCGCTTCTGAAAAAGAGCTATGTACAGTGAGGGAAAAAAGGATATGATCCCCTGCTGATTTTGTACGTTTTCCCACTGACAAACAATTGATCAGTATATAATTTTAATGGTAGGTTTATTTGAACAGTGAGAGACAGAATAACAAAAAAATCCGGAAAACGCATGTAAAAAATGTTATAAATTGATTTGCATTTTAATGAGGGAAATAAGTATTTGACCCCCTCTCAATCAGAAAGATTTCTGATTCCCAGGTGTCTTTTATATAGGTAACGAGCTGAGATTAGGAGCACACTCTTAAAGGGAGTGCTCCTAATCTCAGCTTGTTACCTCTATAGAAGACACTTGTCCACAGAAGCAATCAATCAATCAGATTCCAAACTCTCCACCATGGCCAAGACCAAAGAGCTCTCTAAGGATGTCAGGGACAAGATTGTAGACCTACAAAAGGCTGGAATGGGCTACAAGACCATTGCCAAGCAGCTTGGTGAGAAGGTGACAACAGTTGGTGCGATTATTCGCAAATGTAAGAAACACAAAAGAACTGTCAATCTCCCTCGGCCTGGGGCTCCATGCAAGATCTCACCTCGTGGAGTTGCAATGATCATGAGAACGGTGAGGAATCAGCCCAGAACTTCACGGGAGGATCTTGTCAATGATCTTAAGGCAGCTGGGACCATAGTCACCCAGAACACAATTGGTAACACACTACGCCATGAAGGACTGAAATCCTGCAGCGCCCGCAAGGTCCCCCTGCTCAAGAAAGCACATATACATGTCCGTCTGAAGTTTGCCAATGAACATCTGAATGATTCAGAGGACAACTGGGTGAAAGTGTTGTGGTCAGATGAGACCAAAATGGAGCTCTTGGGCATCAACTAAACTCGCCGTGTTTGGAGGAGGAGGAATGCTACCTATGACCCCAAGAACACCATCCCCACCGTCAAACATGGAGGTGGAAACATTATGCTTTGGGGGTGTTTTTCTGCTAAGGGGACAGGACAACTTCAACGCATCAAAGGGGCAATGGACGGGGCCATGTACCGTCAAATCTTGGGTGAGAACCTCCTTCCCTCAGCCAGGCCATTGAAAATGGGTCGTGGATGGGTATTCCAGCATGACATTGACCCAAAACACACGGCCAAGGCAACAAAGGAGTGGCTCAAGAAGAAGCACATTATTTTATTCTCATTCTATGTGACTTTACCGAAAGAACCAAAGAAGAAGAAGCACATTAAGGTTCTGGAGTGGCCTAGCCAGTCTCCAGACCTTAATCCCATAGAAAATCTGTGGAGGGAGCTGAAGGTTCGAGTTGCCAAACGTCACCCTCGAAACCTTAATGATTTGGAGAAGATCTGCAAAGAGGAGTGGGACAAAATCCCTCCTGAGATGTGTGCAAACCTGGTGGCCAACTACAAGAAACGTCAGACCTCTGTGATTGCCAACAAGGGTTTTGCCACCAAGTACTAAGTCATGTTTTGCAGAGGGGTCAAATACTTATTTCCCTCAATAAAATGCAAATCAATTTATAACATTTTTGACATGCGTTTTTCTGGATGTTTTGTTGTTATTCTGTCTCTCACTGTTCAAATAAACCTACCATTAAAATTATAGACTGATAATTTCTTTGTCAGTGGGCAAACGTACAAAATCAGCAGGGGATCAAATACTTTTTTCCCCTCACTGTAGCTCAGTGGGCCTTACCTGGTAAACTTTTATTAGTTTAGTTTACAAGCAAATTACTTCATAGTCATTTACTGTACCTGCAGTTCACTCGATGTAAGCCAGCTCATGAGTCTCTTAATCAGTGCAAAAGAAAGGGCACGGTTAAATCTTGACTTAAAGCTTTCGTGACTGCAGGAATTCAGATCCTTTGTGTCTTTCGGTGAAGTCACGTTGATAGGTTCAAAGAAAATAACAAAAAACTACGACGTTTCGATTGCAACACAAGCGGTCGTCATCAGGAAAGGGGGGGGGGGTGCGATCAAAACGTCGTATTTTTTTTGTTATTTTCTTTGAACCTATCTACGTGACTTTTTCCGAAAGGCCCAAAGAACATGAAATGCCACGGTGGTGTTTCACACCTGCAAATCGCACCCCGCGATTACACCGGGAATGAGCGTGGAAAAAATATAATTCAGAGAGAGAGCGTTACCTGCTGCACTGTCACCTGCGCTACCGCCCACCTCCTCCGTGCCCCGCCCCCCTCGAGACCTACGCAGTAGGGGTGGCAGCTGTGACGTGGCTCTCGGTCGTCGTCGTTATAATTTTTTTTTACTCCTCCCACCAGGTGCTGAACTTGGCGGCCGCGAGCGACGCGCACACGCGGACCGAGGGCGCCCTGCGGGTGGTCCGCGGGATGTCGCCCCACCTGGCGACGCTGATCGCCACGGCGACCGCCACGGCGACCGCCGAGCCCACCGGGCCCGCCGCCGGCGCCGGCGGCCCACGCACCTCCACCGCGACGCTCGTGGAGACCACCACCACGATAACCGTGACCACGACGACGGAGCACGGGAGGAAGGCCGCCGCCACGGAGGAGGTGGATGAGGAGGATGAGGAGGAGGCAGAGGAGGAGGATGAGGAGGGAGAAGCAGGATTGGCACCGTCTGGACCCCACGTCCCAGTGAGACCGCCGCCAGCTCAGAAGGACACCCTCATGGTGGTGAGTCGTTCGACGCTTGACCAGTAAGCAATGTGATTTGTCCATGGGATGCACTCATTCGTTAGAGTAAAACATCTTAATACGTAGAGGACCGCAGAGCTTGGGGGGATTTGGCGCCCGTTCGTCTGTGGTTCCTCTCCGTCGTTCTCTGTCCTTGAGAGCGAGCGAACGCCGCGCGGCTGCACGCTACAAGTTGAAATTATTATTTCCACTAACTACACACACACACAAAAAAACACGTTGTTAAATGAGTTGCTTTCGCTTAAAGTCACTGAATTTCAGCTCTGAGAATAAAAACAACTTTATTTGTTTGACTGTCATGCAACACACATTTCTCTCGTCGGAGGGCATATGAGAAAGTGTGGATGGAAACGGGTCACTTGAAGCTATTTCATCTCATTCTGTGGACCTTTCCGTGACACCCACTGCTCTTCCGAAGTTAAGATTGCTAACTTTATCTCGTAATGACCATTACACCATTGGAATAACCGCAATAGGATACCGGAGCATGCTAATTGCTTAATAAATAAAATCAATGCGTTCATTGACCTTACAAAAGTGAGACACATCTGACCGTACAATATCTCAGTTCTCCGAGGCACATTATGTCTTTTTTTTAATTTTTTTTTTTTTGCATTGAGTTAGATTCTTTAATGTGTATGTTGGCACATATATTCTGCAAGCTTCACGCTTTCGTTTTGCATCACCTGTTTGGTTTCTGCACTGAACATGGTTTACCTTGTATGTAGCCGTGCCCCCCTCCCCTGCCGTTTAACCTTTGCATTCGGCTCGACTATCATGATAAATATAGACATTGCTATAGAACTAGAACCCTCCCCCTACATAGTAAAATTAATAAAAGCAAAAAGTGTCCCAAGTAATTAACATGCTCGAGTGAGCACCGGGGCTGCTCTTCATCTCCCGTTCGCAGCCCCGAAGTGGAAATTCCACATTCCTATGGCAGGGATACAATCTCTCCACGACACTCACGAGGAGAGGAACATCTTCATAGCACGCAAAGCAGACAGGTCAGCAACCCCGTTGATGTCATCCCTTACGGATGCCTTGTTGCTTTGCGTACATTATTTAGTTGCGCGTTTGTTATCACACAGCTGCTGAGCACAGGCCCCAAGGGCCGAAACGCCAAGCGGCCAGCGACAAGCAGCACGATTGAAAGTGTACGTACGACGGCTGGACTTCCTTCGCGCCGTACATAGCCAACCGCGCCAATCGGAGGTGCGCGAGAAGGACAACATACCAAAACACTAAAAGCAGTGCTAAAGAAATTATTTTTTTTCAAACCACATTTGAAAGTGGAATAGCTCCAGCGGCTTCCTAATATCCGAGGGAAGAGCGTTCCAGACGGCCGCAGAAGCGCACGTGCAATGCACGAGGGTGAACACGTTTGTTGAACTGAGCAAAGGTTAATTTTGTTGTAAGACCGCGGGACTCGAGATTATGGGAGGGAATTCCAAGGTAGAGAAGTGTGAGGGATCCGACAGAGGGGAAGTACGTCACACGCACGGTGGGCCCCCTCACTCGTGTGTCAGCGATGATTCATTTTTTTTCCATTTTGTGGCAAAGATTGCACCGTGGGGTGCCACGGTGACCAGATGTTAACTACCTCGCCAAGTTTACAGGAGGTCATGGGTTTAATCCCGACCCTGACAATGCTTTTATATCCACAATAGATGCTTTTGGGTTAGACCGCATAAAAATAAATGTGTCGTTAAACCCGCCACCAGCCAATTAGTGAGATTTGTCACGTAAACAAAACATGCCAATTCGTTACTATTTCAGCACACCAGTAAACCCATTTACAATGTTGTGAGTTTACTCTCCAACACACCGGTGTGCTGAACTCGTAACGAATTGGCATGTTTTGTTTACGCCACAAAGCTTACTAATGGGCTTTGTTGGGTGGTGGCGGGTTTAATGACACGTTTATATTTACACGATCTAACCCTAAACCTCTGTTATGAATAATATTGGTCGCGAAAGCCTACGTGTTATACTGACGCCTGTATATTTGGAGTCACGTGGATTCTTTCCTGGGTTCTCCGGTTTTTCCCTCCACATTTAGAATCAACATCACGCGTCTAGAGTATTTGGCTGCTATCAATTTCCACGTGACGATGAGCCACTTCATTAAGCTATCATTTGCGATGGTCAGGTCGCTTCTGAAAAAGCGCTATATGTAGTTCAGGAGGCCTTACCTGGTAAAAATATATATATATATATAGCTTAGCTAGCTTAGCTTTGCAAAGAGTGTGAATCTGTACCCATGATCTGCATGTGATCCACTAAATCCATTTGTGAGGCTAACGTTGCAAAAAAAATACCAGGGATACAGATGATCAAACACTCGCCGCCTTTTTGGCAATTTCCACATGTAAAGGTGTGCCCTATCATTCGGTGCACGGCTGCTACTTCGAAATGGATTATTGCAAATTTTGTTATTAAAGGGAAATCGTGGTGCCGCAATTTGGGGCTGTCTGATTTAGCTCCGTGGGGTTTCCGCTTTACAAAAAAAAAGGAGGAATTACTGAATCCGCTCTACGACATTGTATTTCATCCTGTGTGGACTTTGTGGGATGCTCTGCTCTCCCTTGTACACAGAATGCATGTGGGGCAAGCCTAGGACTTGTTAGCATGACATATACACGAGCTTGTTTCTCATATATATATTTACACGTATACACTAATCCCGTGCTGCATCGTGGGGAATGCGGCCACGGTGTAACTTGTTGGCGCACTTGACTTGCAATCGGGAGGACCCCGGTTCAAATCCATCACGTGGTGCGGCAGTTGAAGCAATGGGGCAGGTTTCTTAAATCGCCCCCCCCCCCCCCCACTGACCACTGCACCCCAACCACTGCCTCCCCTCCACCCCCCAGCAGTATAAATGGGTTCACCACAGTTACCACCAAAGTCGATCGCCAGGTTTGCTCATCGTGGGGTAAAGTGTGGTTAGTTTTATGAATGTGTTTAAATTATCCTTTGTAAGAGTATATACCATATGTGCTGCTGGTCTCTTGACTATGATTCTTAAACATGTTATTGTTAGCTCGAATGTTCGGTTAGAAACACTTAGTCTGCAGTTGCCTGGGTGAAAAGTGGAATCATCCACTCAACAATCAAAAAAATAAAATTACCTCTTCCAAGATACCTGGCCAGCATTGAAGAGTCGACCACCTCTTCAAAGATACCTGACAAGCATTGAAGAGTAGACCACCTCTTCCAAGATATCTCACCAGCATTGAAGAGTCGGCCACCTCTTCCAAGATACCTTACCAGCATTAAAGAGTCGACCACCTCTTCCAAGATATCTCACCAGCAATGAAGAGTCGGCCACCTCTTCCAAGATACCTGACAAGCATTAAAGAGTCGACCACCTCTTCCATGATATCTCACCAGCATTGAAGAGTCGACCACCTCTTCCAAGATATCTCATCACCATTGAAGAGTCGGCCACCTCTTCCAAGATATCTCACCACCATTAAAGAGTCGACCACCTCTTCCATGATATCTCACCAGCATTGAAGAGTCGACCACCTCTTCCAAGATATCTCATCACCATTGAAGAGTCGGCCACCTCTTCCAAGATATCTCATCACCATTGAAGAGTCGGCCACCTCTTCCAAGATATCTCACCACCATTAAAGAGTCGACCACCTCTTCCATGATATCTCACCAGCATTGAAGAGTCGACCACCTCTTCCAAGATATCTCACCAGCATTGAAGAGTCGACCACCTCTTCCAAGATATCTCACCAGCATTGAAGAGTCGACCACCTCTTCCAAGATATCTCACCAGCATTGAAGAGTAGGCCACCTCTTCCCAGATATCGCAGCTTCGTGAGAGACGTCAAAGGTGGAATGGTTATCGTGATCGTGACATGCAGCCACTGCGTGGGCAGCCTCTGTAAGTCGATGCCGAATGGCGGATAAGCGCACCTCAGTGTTAATTTACGACTACGAATGACGGCACCCAACTAGGTTTCATTCTTTTGATTTAAAGCTTTCGTGACTGCAGTGATTCATATTCTTGGTTCTTTCGGTAAAGTCGCGTTGGAGGGAGACAATAAAATAATAAAAAATATATGTTGTTTTATATATTTTTTATTACGTCCTTTCGGTAAAGTCACGTTGAAGGGAAACAATAAAATAATAAAATATATATTGTTTTATATATATTTTAGTATGTTATTGTTTCTCTTCAACGTGACTTTACCGAAAGAACCAAGAATATAGGTTTCATTCGTTTCGTAGGGGGGTTTTTTTCCGCCCGTTAAACTCGGTGTCTGTTTAATGAGACAGGGACACGGCGGGCTGACTCTGCCGCATTGCAGATTAAATAATGTAGAGCCCGACAACAGACGGAAAGCAATGAGGTGTCCCACGTGTCCCAACACGTGTAGTTATGGAAAAAACACATTCCCCCTTTTCCCTTCTACACTCACGAGAGACTGCTCCACGTCTGTTAAGTACGTACCGCATGTATGTCGAACTTCTTTCGCGCCGTACATAGCCAACCGTGGCTAATTGGGGGTGCGGGGGAAGGACTACAAATTCAACACAAAAAGCAGTTCTAAAGAAATGGGTTTTCAATCCAGATGATTTGCTACATCGCAGGATCGTGAGAGATGGTGGCGGCGTGGGGAGGCCTTCATCTAGCAGTGGATTGACCGTGGCTGCTGCTGCTGCTGCTGATGATGAGAAAGCAGAAACACCTTCGGCTCGGGTGTCGGTTGTCAAGCGGTGGGCAGGATTCGCTCACCGTTATGGAAGGCTTCAGGACGGAGAGGATTGTATATATTATCGCCACGCGGCCTCAATGAATTCCAAGTGGGAGAGGTGTGTTGGGACGAGAGGCGATTACATTGAGCAGCAGGGAAAGAAAAAAATAGATCTATCTCATCTGAAGCACTCTCAGATGGATTACTTTTCCAGGGTCTGGGGACTGACAAAGTACTGCAGTGGCACGGGTTTGCTCTGTT